GGATGGAGGAGGACCGGAGTCACATGACTGAGAGGATACTGGACCTCACCCTGGAGATCATCTACCTGCTGACCGGAGAGGTGAGGAGGATTCTGGGAGGTCACATGACATCACTCTGATCTCTATTCATAAAACACAGACCTGACCGGAGAGGTGAGGAGGATTCTGGGAGGTCACATGACATCACTCTGATCTGTATTCATAAAACACAGACCTGACCAGAGAGGTGAGGAGGATTCTGGGAGGTCACATGACATCACTCTGATCTCTATTCATAACACACAGACCTGACCGGAGGGGTGAGGAGGATTCTGGGAGGTCTTCAGTGATTATTGTTAATGTCCCTTTTTTTTTTACACAGGATTATAAAGTAGTGAAGAACACATCTGGTGACCTATTGACACACCACAACTGTCTTCACTGGACATCAACCGTCACAGAGCCTTCACCTCACGTGGACTCCACCCAGGAACATCTCACCATCCCCCACCATGATCAGGTAGAGCATGTAAAGCTAAAACAATATTCTAAGCGATGAGATTGTTTGTTCTAATTACTTGCTTTTTTTCAAAAATGTAGTTACATATTTACAAAAAATAGTTAAGGTTGAATAAAGATACAGGTCTGAGCCGTTCAACCTGTGTATGTTAATATCGTTGGGGTTTAGGATGAAGAACTGAAAGAAATTGGAGAGAAAGAGGAAGAAGAGACGTTGGTGGGAGGAGCTCAGCAGTCTATGGAGGAGGAGGAGATGGTTATAAAAAGTGAGCAGGAGGAATCTTCTCTACATATGGACACAAGTAAGTCATAAACACTAAATGTAGAAACCGTTATCTTCTAGGAGTATAAAGTATGTTTACATTGTTACAGGGGTGGTTTAAATATAAGAAATGCTCACAGAGTTCACCTATTTAAAGTCATGTCCCCAACAAATGAGGAGGAGATACTGTACACCATATGAAGGTCCATCTCCATTCCTAAATATAACGTCATGTGACCAACAAATGAGGAGGAGATACTGTACACCATATGAAGGTCCATCTCCATTCCTCAATATAACATCATGTGACCAACAAATGAGGAGGAGATACTGTACACCATATGAAAGGTCCATCTCCATTCCTCAATATAACGTCATGTGACCAACAAATGAGGAGGAGATACTGTACACCATATGAAGGTCCATCTCCCTTCCCCAATATAACGTCCTGTCCCCAACAAATGAGGAGGAGATACTGTACACCATATGAAGGTCCATCTCCATTCCTCAATATAACGTCATGTGACCAACAAATGAGGAGGAGATACTGGACACCATATGAAGGTCCATCTCCATTCCTCAATATAACGTCATGTGACCAACAAATGAGGAGGAGATACTGTACACCATATGAAGGTCCATCTCCATTCCTCAATATAACGTCATGTGACCAACAAATGAGGAGGAGATACTGTACACCATATGAAGGTCCATCTCCATTCCTCAATATAACGTCATGTGACCAACAAATGAGGAGGAGATACTGTACACCATATGAAGGTCCATCTCCATTCCTCAATATAACGTCATGTGACCAACAAATGAGGAGGAGATACTGTACACCATATGAAGGTCCATCTCCATTCCTCAATATAACGTCATGTGACCAACAAATGAGGAGGAGATACTGTACACCATATGAAGGTCCATCTCCATTCCTCAATATAACGTCATGTGACCAACAAATGAGGAGGAGATACTGTACACCATATGAAGGTCCATCTCCATTCCTCAATATAACGTCATGTGACCAACAAATGAGGAGGAGATACTGTACACCATATGAAGGTCCATCTCCATTCCTCAATATAACGTCATGTGACCAACAAATGAGGAGGAGATACTGTACACCATATGAAGGTCCATCTCCATTCCTCAATATAACGTCATGTGACCAACAAATGAGGAGGAGATACTGTACACCATATGAAGGTCCATCTCCATTCCTCAATATAACGTCATGTGACCAACAAATGAGGAGGAGATACTGTACACCATATGAAGGTCCATCTCCATTCCTCAATATAACGTCATGTGACCAACAAATGAGGAGGAGATACTGTACACCATATGAAGGTCCATCTCCATTCCTCAATATAACGTCATGTGACCAACAAATGAGGAGGAGATACTGTACACCATATGAAGGTCCATCTCCATTCCTCAATATAACGTCATGTGACCAACAAATGAGGAGGAGATACTGTACACCATATGAAGGTCCATCTCCATTCCTCAATATAACGTCATGTGACCAACAAATGAGGAGGAGATACTGTACACCATATGAAGGTCCATCTCCATTCCTCAATATAACGTCATGTGACCAACAAATGAGGAGGAGATACTGTACACCATATGAAGGTCCATCTCCATTCCTCAATATAACGTCATGTGACCAACAAATGAGGAGGAGATACTGTACACCATATGAAGGTCCATCTCCATTCCTCAATATAACGTCATGTGACCAACAAATGAGGAGGAGATACTGTACACCATATGAAGGTCCATCTCCATTCCTCAATATAACGTCATGTGACCAACAAATGAGGAGGAGATACTGTACACCATATGAAGGTCCATCTCCATTCCTCAATATAACGTCATGTGACCAACAAATGAGGAGGAGATACTGTACACCATATGAAGGTCCATCTCCATTCCTCAATATAACGTCATGTGACCAACAAATGAGGAGGAGATACTGTACACCATATGAAGGTCCATCTCCATTCCTCAATATAACGTCATGTGACCAACAAATGAGGAGGAGATACTGTACACCATATGAAGGTCCATCTCCATTCCTCAATATAACGTCATGTGACCAACAAATGAGGAGGAGATACTGTACACCATATGAAAGGTCCATCTCCATTCCTCAATATAACGTCATGTGACCAACAAATGAGGAGGAGATACTGTACACCATATGAAGTTCCATCTCCATTCTCACAGTAACAATGCCATCAATGTACATACAATGTTACCCAGTCTGATTTTGGTACCTTGTCCAATTCCAGAGCTCTGAGAAATTGTTGAGAGCTCTACTAACATATATGACTCCTGAATGTAACACACGAAGAATACTTATAACGTTTATCTAACAATTGTCTTCCAACAGATGGACATTATGTCCGAAATATCTCAGAGAAACATCTTATGTTATCTCCAGCTTATAATGACATCACACAACATTCTCCAGGAGTGAATCCCATTACTCATAATAGACATCACAGACCTTCCCATTCAGAGACATCTAATCCTGAGGAATCCCATACTGTTATTTCATATATACATCAAAGATCTCACAACACAGATACATCAACTGATACATCTAATCCCACGAAATCTCTTTTAAGCCATAAAGAAGTTCAGACAATCGAGAGTTCATTTTCTTCTTCGGCGCGTGAGAACTTTTTAGCGGAAAACAAAGATATTATACACCACCGAATTTACATAGGCGAGCATCCCTATTCGTGTTCAGAGTGCGGGAAAAGTTTCAGCCAAAAAGGAAGCCTTCTTATACATCAGAGAGTTCACACAGGCGAGCGACCCTATTTATGTTCAGAGTGTGGGAAAAGTTTCATCCGGAAAGGAGTGCTTCTTAAACACCAGCGCATTCACACAGGTGAGCGTCCTTATCCATGTCCGGAGTGTGGGAAATGTTTTATTCAGAAAGGAAGCCTTCTTAGTCACCTGAGAACTCACACTGGGGAACGTCCCTATTCCTGCTTAGTGTGTGGGAAAGGTTTTACTGAGAAAGGACAACTGCTTAGACACCAGAGAACTCATACTGGTGAGCGTCCTTATTCATGTTCAGACTGCAGTAAATGTTTCATTCGGAAAGAACACCTTATCACACACCAGAAATGTCACAAAGGGGAGTCCTTATCCATGTGCTGAGTGCGTGAAAAGTTTTTCTCAGAAAGGAGACCTTCTCAAACACCAGAAAGGTCACTTAACAAAACAAGCATTTTTGCAACACTAAATAATAGACACAGAAGATTGTCACTTTTTATGCTCTGTGTGAGAATAATTTTACTAAAATAGGAAACCTCAGCCACCAGAGAATTCACAAAGGTGAACATCCTTATTCATTTTCATGGTGCGGTAATCATTTCAGTAACAAAAGAACATTAGAAAATTCAGATAGGAGAGCCTCAAAATATCAGCAAATTGCTTATTCATGTCCAGAGTACCAGAAAAAAATTCATTCAGAAGAGTCACAAATGCGAGTGCCCATTTTACAAGTAGTCACATGATCAAAGAGCTCTAACAACTGCATCTTCCTGTGCTGGTGACAACACTGTGACCATAGCTCTAAGGCATTGTCGGCCCTTTGTTTTAACAAAGGACCTTAACTGGAATGAGCTCGGTTCATAGAGAGTCCTCCATTGGTGATGGGAATGAGCTCAGATCATAGAGAGTCCTCCATTGGTGATGGGAATGAGCTCAGTTCATAGAGAGTCCTCCATTGGTGATGGGAATGAGCTCAGATCATAGAGAGTCCTCCATTGGTGATGGGAATGAGCTCAGATCATAGAGAGATCATCATAATCAGTGGATTACTCAGCATGTCAGTCTCATGTGATGAGTCCCGTCATTGTCACAGTGATTGATCTCGTCAGTGCTGACACACAACGGTCAGTGAAACCAGAAGAATCTTATTATATTTCTGCCATGTTTCTTTTTAATGTCACAGAGATTATCAGATCTTTAGATTTTTAATAGTGGAATAATTTGGGTCTTTGGAGGGGAGGCTCTAGGAAAAAAATGTAAATGTGAAGGTACGTGGCCTAAATATAGACATACGTTTCCAGTATTCCAGATGTGGGAATAGCGTAGTGTAACTGGTTTTACTTAATATTTTGTATTCTTTTTTATTTATTTAATGTAGCGATATTGTAAATCCTAATAAAAATAAAACAAAAACATCATCACAGCGATTATCAGTGACGTTTACAGACTGTCAGAGAATGTAGTGTGGATGGTGGGGGAGAGATGTCAGAGAATGTAGTGTGGATGGTGGGGGAGAGCTGTCAGAGAATGTAGTGTGGATTGTGGGGGGAGAGCTGTCAGAGAATGTAGTGTGGATGGTGGGGGAGAGCAGTCAGAGAATGTAGTGTGGGGGAGAGCTGTCAGAATGTAGTGTTTGTTACATTTGGCTACCAGAATCTCACACTTCAATATGGAAAATGACCTTTTATTGTATTGCTTAAAATACAGAGAAAGTTCTAAAGAAATATTTGAAACTCTAAATGACACTTTACACACTAATCCAGAAAACATTAAACAAACAACTAAGACAAATGGTTTTGGGAACTATGGAAAGACTTTTATATTTTATCATATATATATAATGTAACTTGAAAGTTCGTGGTATACTGAGCTTTGGGTGACGGGAGGACGCTAGTTTGTGTCCTCCCGAGAACTATGGGGAAAAGGCCTGACCGCATAACTCACATAGGAGCTCATGCTTACACAAAAACTACCGTATTTTTCGCTCCATAAGACGCACTTTTTTCCCCCAAAAAAGAGGGGGAAAATGTGCCTGCGTCTTATGGAGCGAATCCCGACGCCCGAGACATGCAGTTTCGGGCGCCGGGCGAGTAGTAGGAGCCACTGCTCGTTTAATACGAGTGATCTAATAACGAGATCACTCGTATTAAAGCCGAGCAGCGGCGACGATCGAGATCACAGCGCCACCTGTCTCAGCGGTCACTAACTGCAGCTTCTGTCATAGAAGCTGTGTCAGAAGCTACAGTCTGTCGAGTGCTCCATAAGGCGCCCCGGACCTCCCTGCGTCCTATGGTCCGGTGCGTCTTATGGACCGCAAAATACGGTAGATACGTAATGGGTCTTCCAGGAAGTCAGAATGAGGAGGATGAAAAGAAAAGAGCAGAGAAGGACAAGAAAGAGAGAGCGAGGGGAAAAAGAAAACAAAAGCCCAGAAGAGATTAGTGCTCCACCAGCACAGCTCGGCATTTCCCGGGATGTAACAAAACCAGTCCAGCAAAACCAAGTTATCCGCAAATTGTTCCTTGCGGTGCAAAGCTTCTACAATGTCCTCCATATTGTGGACTTGATTCACTTTAGAAAGCCACAAACTCACGGGACGAGGTGAAGTCCGTCTCCAACAGAGGGCAATCCGGGCTTTGGCTGCATTAAGCAAATGTACTTTTTATATCACTTAGTAGAAAGGAGGACGCGTTGTACAGGAGGCGGGTCATTCCCCAGGTCTACCCCAGTCAGTTGGAGGATGAACGCCAAGACTTTGTCCAAAAAGTGTAACAGTGGGTGCTTGGTCCTTCAATAAAGAAGGGGGCAGAATCCGGCCACTCGGTGTATATAATAATCTCCCAAAAAAGGGTATAAAATTCATTTCAGTACAGCGCTGCATGACGGAATAAATGTCAGTCAAAGTACCACAGCGCTGAATACTGAAAAATGGCCTGGATGGGAAGGGGGTTTAACACCACGGATGTCAACTGGTTAAAGACCGGACTGTCAGCCGAGAATCTGGGTCTGAACGTGTAGTCAATGTTAGGGCAGAACGGGGGAGGGGCAAGACTGGTACAAGACAACAGAAGGGTAACAGTGCATCAAATTACTGCAGATCTTAATCGGGAATCCTCTCCAATGATCTCTGAACGCATTGTTCGCCGTACTCTGCGTCGTATGGGATGTGGAAGACGAAGGTTGGAACACCTCTGCTGTCTGCAGGTAACAAGATAAAATGTCTCCAATTGGCACAGGAACACAAGGATTGGACAGTCGAGGAAAAAAGTCATGTGGTCCGATGAATCACGTTTCCAGTTGCATCATGCAGATGGCAGAGTGAGAATTTGGCGGGAACCGCATGGAAGCATGCACCCCACACGCACGAGTACAACCCTTCCAGCTGGTGGGGGCGGTGTTATGGTTTGGGGGCGTGTTTTCCCGGCATGATTTGGGCCCTTTAATTCGTCTGAATAGCACAACATACCAAAGTATCGTCGCCGATCAAGTTCCTCCGATCACGTTGATGGCGTATCCCAATGGAGAAGGCTTCTTCCAACAAGACAATGCGCCGTGCCGCGGCGCTCGTATTGTGCAGGAGCGGCTTCAGGAACACGAGGGAGACTTCACCTCGCTTAGGTGGCCCCCGCAATCACCAGATCTCAATTGCAGCATTTGTGGGACGAAGTTGAAAGAGCCAATCAGGCAGCTGGTTCCACAACCATCAAATCTCACGCGCTCTTCATCAGGCGTCAGATTCCTCACATCACCTTTCATCATCTCGTGGAGTCAACGCCGAGAAGAATCGCCGCCGTATTGAAGGCAAAAGGCGGCCCAACGAAGTACTGATGGGGGGAGGGGCATAATGATCTGGCCACTCGGTGTATAGAGTCAACAGTTTGCGCGGCGCTTTACAATATAAGAAGGACATGACAATCACAATACAATTCAAGACAAGATGGGGGGAGGAGGGCCCTTAGTTGCCGTAATATTCCCCGAAACTGCCCACTATGTCCCCGGAGGAACGTAGCCAAACGTGCCATGTGTAGAGGCAAGTGGAGACACGTTTGATTGGAACCTTTATTCCCGCAAAGCCAACAACCGCCCAATTCTTAACACACGGCGGTCTTTGCTTTTCTTTTTTCAGTTTCACTTCTTTATCAGTTTTAAAAAACACCAAAATCAAATTTGTTTCGTTATATTTCTTCATTGTTTCCGGTTTTTAATCAGCCGTAATATGTGCGACCAAATCGGAGAATACACCGAAGGATGGGAAAAAAACATCGAAAGGCTGCAGATTCCAAATTCCCCACAAGGTGGCGAGCTCACTTATTGTCATGGAAACGCACACGCAGGAAGTGATGTGAACATGAAGGCAGGAAGTGATGTCACATTTAAATAGGAAGTTTTAGGTGAGAGGCGATTTTGGAGGAAGTAGAGAGGAGACATTGCTGGAACTGGCAGCAGAGGAGGTAATAAGATATTATGTTATAGATACACCCAGTAACCCCCCCGTCATGTCCGTCCTCGTCCTCCATAGTCACTGTGATGTCTGTTATGGTTTTTAGACCAGATACATCCTAAATATAGAGCCATTTATCCAACTGTCCATCCAGAGCCGCCATTTATAGACCGGATACATCCTAAATATAGAGCCATTTATCCAACTGTCCATCCAGAGCCGCCATTTATAGACCGGATACATCCTAAATATAGAGCCATTTATCCAACTGTCCATCCAGAGCAGCCATTTATAGACCTGATACATCCTAAATATAGAGCCATTTATCCAACTGTCCACCCAGAGCCGCCATTTATAGACCAGATACATCCTAAATATAGAGCCTTTAGCCAAATGCTTCATTTCTCAACCTCACATTATGTTAGTGGAGGATTGTTGGTCCCTTTGGAACCTAATCATAACCCGACTGGTTGTCCTGCCTCTTGTCATGTGATCCTGAACTCCAATCCCAGCACAGATGACCCCTATTTTGGTGGAGTTGGCTGTCATGGTGACATCAGTGTCCTCAGTACATGCCGTGTCCAGTGACAGTAACAGGACAGAGCTCACACTATAGACATTCCCGGCCACTGTGCACACACAACAATGTCATGTCTACATCTCCTCCATCATACATGATCAGTAAACGTGTATTCTCTCTAATCCAATATTAATTAGATAATACTATATGAAGCCCAACTAAAGCTGACGTGTTTTTACTTTTAGATGAATTTTGGATGGGTTAGAACCTCTGCCAGATGATGTTTTGTCTGTTCTTCGTTTTGGGCTAATTTCCCCTCCCATCCTCTTCTGTGAGACATCGGTCACCTGGACATAAAGTGAAGGGAAATCTCTCCAACCGGGATATATATTATAAGAAGCAGTCGGAGGTGTCAGAACTCTGGAGGAAGTCTGTGCAGACATTATTCATCCCGGGACAGTCCAGATCATCCTCCGTTTATTATTTATCTACAGGGAGGAGCGTCCGGTATAGATCACATGACCACATCAATGAGG